AAGAGCAAATTTCTGAGTATGTTTTACATCCAGTTTTGGTCTTTAAGGTGTTTTAATAGCCTTGTGCTTTCTTCATATATGATGTTTTTTATGTCATCCAACAACACTACTAGTCTTCAGTCATTAGTGTCTAATGTATCAAATCTGTTCTTAAGATGATCTCTAAATTCATGTGGCATACACTCAAGGTCAGAGCTTGTTTTAATTTTCTTCATATCCAACCTGAATTTGAATATGGAGAACTAATGGGCTGTTCTACAGTCCCTATCTGGCATTGTTTTGGTTGATGATATTGAGCTTCTTCATCATCTCTTCTCACAAATGCAATCAATTTGATTCCTGTGTATTCCATTCAGTAAGGTCCATGTATACAGTCATCATTTATGTTGTTGAAGAAAGGTATTTACAATGAATAAGTCTTACAAAATTCTATCATGTGATCCCGAGCAGAGCTGGCATTCACATTTTTCAATTACCAATCCTTCATCTATGTTTCCAACTATCACATTTAAATTACCAGTAATTATTAATGTATCCTTACTGCATGTTTGATCAATTTCAACCTAAAGAAGTGGGTAGGATTCTTCAATATCATCACTGGCTTTTGTGTTGTTGAGTCACTTTGAGTAATAGAGGTATTGGCTGGTCTTTCTTGTAGGTGTATGGATACTATCTTATCACAGACAGTAAACACTTCAAGAGAGACCTTGAAATCTTTGGATGATGAATGAAATGCCAATTCACTTCAGATTGTCTTTCACAACATATTAAACCATATGTTTGTCTGGTACAAAATGGTCAATACCAGTCCATTTAAGCCCATTAATGTCTGGGATATCTTATGTTTATACATTCCATCTCATTTATAACTACTTCAAATTTACCTAGATTCAAATTTCATACTTTCCACATTTGGATTTTGAATGGATGTTTACAACTGCTTATTCGCATTTTGAGTTGTGTCCTATCAGTAAATAAAGATCTTAAAAGCTTTGTTTTATTTGCATCATTAAAATTAATTCTACTCTGAGTATCTTTGAAACAGTATAACAAGAATGCTCCCTAGAAGAGAGGATGATGAGACGTAGTCTCTAGTTCTTTGGACATGTTGTCATGGGAATATATCCCTAGAAAAGAACATCACATTTGGTAAATTGGAGGGTCAGCAAAAAAAAAGGATGACACCATTAATATGAATTGATACCTGGCATGAGCAATGGGCTCAACTATAAAAATGCTTATGGAAATTCTGGAAGACTGGGCAGTGGGTATAGGGGTGTTCAGATGGATATAGAGTTCCTATTAGTTGGAAATGGATATAGTTGTAGAAATGATTGAGTTGGAGATGGATATAGAGTTCCTATGAGTCAAGAATCAAATGACATATTACATTAGGGTAATCTGCTGCACAAGACCTTTTTAAAATGCTGAAGAGCAAAGATGTCAGCTGGAGGACTAAGGTACACCAGACCCAAGTTGTGGTATTTTCAATAATGTCATATATATGTGAAAGCTGGACAGTGAATAAGGAAGACCTTAGAAGAATTGATGCATTTGAGCTATGGTGTTGGAGGAGAATATTGAAAGTTATCATGGGTTGCCAAAAGAACCAACAGATCTGTGTTGGGAGAAGTGCAACCAGAGTGCTCCTTGGAGGCCAGGATGGCCAAACGTCATCTCTTATACTTTGGACATAATGTCAGGAGGTACCAGTAGTTGGAGAAGGATATCATGTTTGGTAAAGTGGAGGGTCAGAGAAAAAGAGGAAGACCCTCGGCTAGATGGATTGGCAATATGATAGTATCACTGAGCTCAAGGGAGGCAACACTTGTGAGTTTGGCCCAGGACCGGGCAGTGTTTCATTCTGTTGTGCATAGAGTCGCTATGTGTCGGTACCAACTTCATAGCACCTAACAACAACAATGAGTTGGAGCTGACTTAATGGAGCTTAACCACAATTACATCAGCAATAAACCTTGTCAACTTTTTCAAACTGTATTGGTTCTAGTCGATATCTATTAAAATGTTGATGTTCCCATTGTCTTTTATTTTTAATACTACTATGGAATTGCAAACTTATTATATATCTAACAGATATCATATGAATGCACATGGAGAGCTATTAGGATAGTAGTATCTGAAATAAGACATTCTTAAAAGAATTGTTGTGAAAATGAACAGAAATAATGTATATTAATAATTAGCACAGTGTCCAGCCTAAAATAAATGCTAAAATTTGTTAGCAATTATAATTGTGATCATAATAGTAAGTAATCTTATAACTGACAGATGTTTCTACCAAATATTTAATATACTAAATGCATTAACATATTAAATCTTGGTAGGTACAACTATTAAAATTATATTTTTAAATATTGACAAATTTTGATGTGGCAAGGGATACATAATATTGACATATGCATTTGTTCTTGATAACCTAGGGAAGAAATGACTTACAGAAAGCTTGATTTGGGTAGTTACTTGGAAAATTCATAGAACTTAGTGTTGTATTTGGCTCCCACAGTTCAAAAGGTCCTCCACAGTCCGCTGAAAAGGAAAGCAGAGAAAAATTATTGATAATGCAATGTTTATTTGAAAGAGAAAACACTGTATACCAGCAAATTTCTAATTGAATTTCTTGGAATGCTAGTTTTGAAAGATAATGTGTGTGTGTGTGTGTGTGTGTGTGTGTGTGTGATATACTACATATAGAACTAAGATCAAATGAATAAGAAAACTTAATTTGAAGAAAATATAAAACTAGGATAAATATTCTCTTTAGATAAGGAAATGATACTATAATCTGTTAGGAATAAGAACATAGACAGCATAATTAAATATGTCTGCATCTATGTGAGTGACCTCAATCATGCTATTTTCTTTTATCACTCTTTTTCAGTACTGCAGGATAATGCACTGGACTGCAAAGTTTGTTTGAATCTTAAGGTTGGCCATTGAAACTCACCAGCTGCTCCTCGAAACCCAATACAGGATCACTATGAGTCGAACTGACTGAACGGCACTTAACAAATCATCATATACCTTACGTTTTTAGATACTTTTGGATTAATGTGTATCTTTCAAATTTGCATGTAATAGATTTAGGTTTAAATTTCATATGTACATGATGGATTAGAAAAAAGATAGTTGCTCTTTCTCAACTGTGGTGTCTTTGCTAATTTATCCTGATAAAACAGAGGGTCAGCAAAAATAAAAAGAGGAAGACTCTCAATGAGATGGATTGCATAATGGCTTCAACAACAGACTCAACCATAAAAACAATTAAAAGACAGCATAGAATCAGGCAGTATTTTATTCTTTTGTACTGCAGGTTTCTATGAGTCAGAAACCTAACAACAACAACATCTTAAAAAAGTATGGACTATTTTATATGACCTCCTGGGATAGGCTTGTCCTGGCTTACTTGAACTCTTGCAGCTTAGGAATAATACTTGCATTTCTTACAAAGTCAAAAGGTCTGTAAAGTTTTTACATGCACATTGTCTCATCTAGGGAGAGAACATGATGCAATAAAATGATGTGTTGGAGATGATGGATTTAAAGAGTTGTTCTGAGATACTTAATATCTCTATGATTTTATGTATGTATGAGGAGACTTCAAAATGCTCATGAAAAAGTCCATTACCTTTTCATTCGATTTCCCAGAAACCTTTGAAACACCCTCGTGTATGTACATGATTATTGCCTCATCTCACATTTACTATATGCAAACATTATATATGTTTGCATAATATAAAGTGTCATTGTTAAGTGCCATCCAGTCAGATTTGACTCATAGTGATCCCGTATAGGATTTATCAAGGAGTGGCTGATGAGTTTGAACCACCCCAGCCATGCAGTTAACAATCTTATACTTATCCTATTATATATTAGGGATTTTCTGGGTTGTAAATAAGTATCAGAAATAATTTAAGCAAAGCTCATATACATTACCTAAAGAGAGAGGGCAATATTCAATATGTACTGGTTTTCAAAATATCTTCATGGATGAATTTATTAGCAGTTAAATGGACAGAGATTTAGAGATCTTCAGTCACTTTCTTAAGCTACACATTCATTCACCCAGTATAACTCGAAGTCATCCTACAGTATATTAATTTCGCCCAATGTCTGTTTTTTCACTACTTTCCATCATCTGGTTCAACCCACAGGCAGGATTCAGATTGAGTCCCTGCTGAGTGGAACTTGATAGGTACATAAAAAAGAGATGGAGAGCAGAAGACAATATGAATTAAAGGATTGCCAAGTCAGGTCACTGATGGCTAGATCTAGATGAAAGAAAGCAGAGAGGAAGGCATTTGAACCTTAAAAACAAATAAGGATGGGTTCGTCATGGAAAAACAGCTCAGGAATGCTGACTGTAAGCTCCCATGGCCACTGTTCATCTGTGACTGAATAAATGATTGATCATCTTTTAAAAATTCATGAAGAAGAAATTACCACAACCCTCCATACTCCCAACATACCTCATTTAATTTTAATAATTCTCAGCTGTTATGAAATACTGTCTTTATTTCTCAGTGAGGCTAATGGGGAAGGATATTGCAGGGACAGATAAAACAATGCAGATTAAAGAAGGCTGTCTCTTTCTATGGAGTCCTGGTGTAGTGCTGTAGAATCAGCACTGGTCTGCTAACCACAGTGTTGTTGATTCAAACCCACTAACTGCTTCTTGGAAATCCTATACAGGGTCTCTATGAGTTGGAACTGCCTCCATGGCACTTAAAAGCAACAACAAATGTCTTCCTATAAGGGACCCTGGTAGTATAGTGGGTTGTACATTGGGTTGCTAACAAGAAGGTCAGCAGGTCAAGGTCACCAGGGTCATGAAGAGTCAGAACTGACTAGACAATGTACAATCACCACCTCTTCCTGTTGCATAAACGGAGCCATGGCTAGTGTAGCCAGCGGTTGCTTTGCTTGGTTGTTAAAACCACTATCCTCATTTTCTCTTCAAGAAAAAGGAAAAATTTCTGTATTGCATACTAACACTCATAAGTCTATATAACATAGTAGCCTATGTTTTAATAAATGCATTGCATTTTCACACAATTGAACACTCTATTATATGTAAATATGAGCAGTTAATATTTAGTAAACACACAATAAAAGGTAAAATGTCTTCAAGTATAATTCTTAAGACTGGCAAGAGAAGCAGTTTACATGGCACTTCTCGGTTTTTAAAAAGTCCTAGAAAATTCATTTCTTTAAAATACTTAAATTGTTTTTGAAAGGTACTTCAAATAAAATTTTATATCAAATAACTGACTAGCATGATAGCTCTGATCTTTGGAATGTTAAGCTATTTCAGTTACTCTGTATATAAATCACTGGAAGAAACTGGCAAAAGCACTATAAGCTATTTAAAATATGATGGCACAATTTATGTTAATGATAGTATGACTCTGGAGAAGACAAAGCATATACTTAAGAGAGGAGCCAAAGACTCATGAACTGCAATTCTGGATATCAGTCATGCTGTGTCTTTCGATAAACTGCCCTGACACAGACAGTGAGACTTAAATAGCTTGGCTATTACAGGGAGTTGTATTCATCAACAGTTTTTAAATGCTTTCATTTTCTTTTTTCTTGGTGCTGTTCTCAAAACACTTATATGCTGATTAATTTCTTAGTATGCTAATAGGGATTCTCACCACATACAATATGAAAGCTGCCTGCAGTACTTTACAAAGTAGTTGACTTCAGGCATGCCATTTATTTGTTTATTTATTTTTAAGAGGTTAGGATATTTTATGGGTTTAGGGTTTTAAAGGTGTAGTTTTTTTTTGTTTTTGTTTTTTTTTTAAGTTACATTCAGGTAACCAATAAAGACTTTTTTCTTTTTTCCTTTTAGTGTGGGTATTTTTTCTTAAGCTTTTACAATAACAGTCCTATGCAGTCTTTCTCCTTTTGTGGCTCACAAATTTCACTCAGCATAATGTCCTCAAATTTCATCCATGTTATGTGGTGGCTTACAGCTTCCTTGTTATTCTTCAAGGTAGCATAACATTCCATTGTGTGTATGTACCAAAGTTTGGTTAGCCATTCTTCCACTCATGGGCACTTAGGTTGTCTCCATTTTTTTGCTATTGTAAATAGTGCTGCTATGTATCTACTTGTGATATGGCCGATTTTTCTTGTGGATAAATACCAACTAGAGGGATTACTAGATCATATGGCATTTCTATTTCCAACTTTTAGAGAAGGCACCATTTATCCTCCCAGAGTAGTTGGACCATTTTGCAATCCTGCCAGCAATGTAGGAGGGTCCTAGTCTCTTCACATCCTCACCAGCATTTATTGTCTTCTTCTTTTTTGAACTTCATTGTTATTGCTGGTGTGAAATGATATCTCATTGTTGATTTTGATTTGCATATCACAGCTCCCTGAATGTGCCCTATGTCTTCTGATCTCAGAAGCTAAGTAGGGTCAGGCCCAGCTATGACTTGGATGGGAGACAGCCTGAAAATCCTAGGGGCAGTAGGAGTAAACTTAAAAAAAGGAGTCCTGGTGTGGCGCTGTGGGCTAATGTGTCAGAGTGCAAAGCCATTTGAACTGCAAGTTGGTGGTTCAAGCTCACCAGCTGCTTCTTGGAAACGCTATACAGGGTTGTTATGGGTCATAATTGACACTACAGCACTTTGCAACAACAATGGCTAGTGATCATGAACATTTCTTCATATATTTATTGACTGCCTAAATCTCTTCCTTATGGAAATGTCTGTTTTATGTCCTGTGCCCATTTTTCAATTGGGTTATTTGTCTTTTTATTGTAGAGGTTTTGTAGTTTCCCATATATTTTAGAAATGAGTCCCTTGTCTGATGTCACTGTAAAAGATTTTTTCCCATTCTATGGGCTCCCTTTTTACTCTTTTGTTGAAGTCTTTTGATGCACAGAAGTTTTTAATTTTTAGTATTTCCCAATCATCTAGTTTGTCTTCTTTTGTTTGTGCAATTTTAACAATGTTTGGTAGTGTGTGTGAGCTCTGTATTGTTGTTATTGTTATGTGCTGTGGAGTCGGTTCCGACTCCTAGTGACCCTGTATAGGGTTTCTAAGGCTGTAAATCTTTACAGGAGCAGAAAGCCTCATCTTTCTCCCGCAGAATAGCTGGTAGTTTCGTACTGCTGACCTTGTGGTTCGCAGCCCGATTCGTAACCACTACGGCTACCAGAGCCACTTGTGCTCTATATTAGCCCCCTCAAATTTGTCCCTATTTTTTCATTTATGGCCTTTATAATTCTAGGTTTCACATTAAGGTCTTTAATCCATGCTGACTTGGTTTTTGTATAAGACTTAATCTAAAATCTTGTTTCAATCTTTTGCATATTGATTTCCAGTTCTGCCAGCACCATCTGTTGAAGAGATAATCTCATCCCCATGCAATATATTTAGGCCCTTTGTCGAAAATCAGCTGGCTGTATGTGGATGGTTTCATTTCTGGATTCTCCATTCTGTTCCATTGATCTATACATCTTTCATTGTACCAGTACCAAGCTATTTTGAACACTGTAGCTGTGTAATAAA